CCCCCTTTCCCCTCCCTCTTTAATACTACGTACGTTCACTTGCACAATGTTTCTTACCTTTTCTGTCTTTTCTTCTGTTCCAGGTGAGTCTCGTTATACGAAGCGTTGGGAAACCGGCCTTTTGAAGGAGCTTCAAAGTGATGAGCTGGAAGTTTGTGGTAATGTAATATTTTGAAAATGTGAAGTGTGTTGATACGTTATCTGTCACAACGTCGGGTCTTCAAAATTGCTCGTTATCCTAAGGCGCCGTGGACAGGGGCGATAGGCAAGCCCGCCCGCACTCCTGCGTGCGGTACAGTATACCTACAGAAGTGCGCTGCGTGAAGCAGCCACCTGGTATGATCACGGCAATCTTAAGTACTTTGATCGTGGTGGCCCAACGAAAGCGCCTTGAGGGTAGGCAATCTCAAGACAGTGGTGCCACCGTGGTGCCAACCCACCAGGCGTCATGATCGTCTATAGAGGACCAGCAAGTACAAATGGACTCCACACGCCACCACCAGATCAAGACCAAGATTCCCTCAACTTTCTTGTCAAGTGTACACCAGATTTCCAGGATTGCCAGACTCACGTGACATTTTTGTACCTTTGTTCATAAAACACCTCTAAGCAGGTACGCTCCTACTCTGCATGTGAGCATACACACATTATCGCGTTTGGACCCCAAAATTGAAGATTGTCGAAGATTAACGTAGATTGCCAGGGTTGTTGTGGTAGTTGTACAACAGATTGCAAAAGTTGAGGCCCCTAGCTTTTTATCTGCATCGCGTAACGGCAGCAGGGCAACGCATACCAGAGTGATGTGACGTGGGATCGAGGAGCAGATGTGCAATTTCTAATGCGGACGGTTTTTGCTTGGCTGCCGATATTATTCCCCGATCCATATTCTATGAATTCCCGCATAGTGGCCGGGGAGTGGAGGAGCATGTGGAGGCACCGGTCGGGCGCGATGGGGGTGGGAGGGCCTTAAACAAGCGCTTGTCACGAGAAAAGGTTGATATGCACCACCATGCGATTTTTAATTTTGAATAAACTTAGTAGACGTACCAGACCACATCTTGTGTGACAGGCTTCGTTGTCTGTTATGCTGCGATGCGCCTGCGCCCTTCTACTTCTGGAACCCAAAGGTGCTATGAAGCATTCAGCACAATTTTAAGGGTGGAAAAGAACTTCTGGTGCTTGAATACCTCCACCAAATTCGCTGAAGCACCTTAATTCGGAGGTTTCAGTGTCTTTGGCAGAGGCAATGGAAAGCAATTTCCAAGGTGCTGATTAACATTTGCTGTTCCAGTCGTATATGCCTGTGAGGATGGCGATGGGGAGCCGCCAGTTACTCGGTTCCGGCCAAGAGAATATTTTGTTCTCCGAGCTATTTTCTCAATATCCGTTTCATGTTCGAGTGGATTTTTATCGTTTTCAAAAGGAGGTAACAGTAGCCCC